GATAGGTCCATGTGGGATCTGGTGTCTCAGAAGTACTGTAAACTCCTAGCTTGGGTGACGGGTTGATTGTCATATTATTAATTGAAAGAGAGAAGATAAGGTTTCAAAAGGATAGGCAGTTTACTACATTCTTAATTTGATTCAACTACAAAACAATCGGGGCAGTTGTCCAGCCAGTAATTGGACATATGGATGTAGAAATCAGAAGGGAAATACGTCTAAAAGCATAATTTTCACACTTGTGACTTCCTTGAGGCAGTGCTTTCATACATTTCTATCTCCTCAATGCCAAGCAAAATGTCAGGCCCCTAATGAGCACTCAAAAAGGATTTATCAAACTGAAAAACTAGCAAATGTCATATGGCTTAAAGACAGTGAATCCTAACTTCCCATTGAATTCCTGTGAAGTAAAGTATAGTTGATATCATTATTCAAATAGAGGCCAAATATTTTCTAGAGTTGTATATGAGACATTCATGAGCAGGATCAAGAGTTGTAGTGAATGCTCTTTTAGACCTCAGTCATCTCTTGCATGCTCTTTCCGTTGACTCTCAAATTACTAAAGCAATGTAACTCACCAGGAGAACTAGCACATTAACTCTACTATTTAAGCTTATCAGTTTCAATTCTGTGGCTCATTTTCTGTGATATAGATATATATAATGTATATATCTGTGTAATATATATATGTATAATATTTTTAGAAGGAGGATTGTTTGCTTTTTTAAGTACAGTTATAAATAGCTTTTAAGTGTTAGTCACTCAGTCACGTCTGACTCTGCAAACCCATGAAGTGTAGCCTGCCAGGTTCCTCTGTGCATGGGATTCTCCAGGCAAGAATACTGGAGTGGGTAGCCATGCCCTTTTCCAGGGGATCTTCCCAACCCAGGGATCAAACCCAAGTATCCCACATTTTAAGCAGATTCTTTACGATCTGAGCCACCAAACTGTCTTAATACAGATATAGCTCCCCGCCCCCCGTCCCCAGGGATTTAATTTATTGGAGAAGTTCATTGCATTTCTATTCTGGACAGAGACAAGATAAAAACTGTCAAATACATACACTTTCAAATGTATGTATTTAAATGCAATGAAGATGCAGTACCCATATCCAGCAGCCTTAAATTATTTGTGTGCCAGGGAGAAAGGCATTATAAGAAATATTTATTGAGCACTTTCTATATGCTGTACATGGATAGGGGTGTGGTCTGGGGCCACAATGTTGAGGAAATATATTATTTAATACCCTCTCCCTCCTATAAAGTTCTGCCCTCCCTTCTATAAAGGTCAAGAGAAAATAAACAGTCAAATCTTCTATAGACTGATCAAAGTTACCACATGGAGGGACTTCCAATCAGAGGCCATGGCTTTCTAGAGGGACTGACTGTCTTTTTAGCATCTGAAGCATCAATGAGTTATTAATGAGTTATCAATGTGAACTAGACTGTTGATTTTTAAAGAGAGAGAGAAATGACTTAGGAGGAACAGCAAAATCCTGGAAGTTAGAAAGAACATGGTGAATTTAGGACAGTGCAAGTAGCTTAGTATGGTTGGCACAGAAAGTATACATGATGACTGATGAGAGCTTAGTGTTAACTATGTCCATTATGTGGAGAGAAAAGAAGATAAAGGTCAGCCTGCTATGCAGTATAAGCTGGTCAATGAACAACAATATGAAAATCAGAAAGGCCATGATACAATGATATTTGTGATAGCATCATGACCCTTGTTATTAGATGTTAATTAAAAAGATTTAATTAAAATTATTTGAAAAACTGAGAGACAGTGAATTATTAATAATTTATTCATTTGATCCTCAGATGCCGAGTATAAATATATGAAGTATAAAAATACAAATATGTTTAATATTTTTTTAAAAAACACTGCATTTATAATAATGAAACCGAATGCTCTGGATTTTGCTAAGACACTCCATGCAAGAATTAATTCATTTTCATCTAAAATCTAAAATATGTTTTCATGTTTCTATTGCATAGTTGTTTTTTTGCAATGGCGATCACATAACCTTTTATCCAAACTGGGACACTTCTGAGGATGAAAGAAGTGTTATGAATAATTATACAAGAATAATAGGCATAAATATGAACTGTCCTGGGAAAACCCAGGACTGGCTATGATTCTTGTTCGAAATGTGTAATTTATTTTAAAGCATACTTAAATTATTGTAGTTATGTAAAATTTGAAATAGGATGTTCATTTTGAAAAGAAACATCTTTGTCTCTTTGAATTAGATGTGTTTTAATCTTTTAATATTTTATAGTTGGTAAACTACTCCATCTTTTCTTCCTAGTTTCACCTTTCACTGTTATTTACCACTATACTGAATAAGTCATTGGCAGAAATAGATAAAATGAAGATGACAAATCTCTTATTTGTGAAACTTACTGGCTGTTAAATGTGCTTACAGCTTTTTAAAGTAGAATTTTTCTTCAAAATCTAGAAGAGGATATTTCATTTTATTTTTCTTTAGCCTCAAAAACAGAAATTGGGATCAAGCCCAATAAAAATATTTATGACCAATGAAAAATGAAGCATTATTAAAATAAGAAAAAGGGAAGAAATTGAAAGACTTACTACAGAGAACTACCAAATTGTAGCATTACAATGGATCTTTATACAAAGACACAATACTCAGCTATTATTCAAGCAGGTGGCATATTATTATTCTTACAGATTGATACCTTTGCTTATTATCTCCTTGGTTGCACACAGAACAATAATTTGAATCTAATAATGCCTGTAGAAATTTCCATTAATAATATAAATTGTTATTAAAACATAAAAAAATTATCTGTGGTCTGTTCCAATTGATTTTGTTTCTATAATTGATGGACTGAATTTCACTATACCTGGGTACACCAGGACAACTGACTTTGATAATAAAGAAAAATAATTGATTTCAGGTTTCAAATGAGGCAGTTTGGAAACAGTGCTTTGTCAAGTTTCTTAACTCCCACAGAGTACAGCACCACAGGCCTCCAGGTAGATCCAGAGGAGACAAGGGAAACACATTTTGTAGTTTTATATAGTCCAATGATAATTAAAATAAAATTGTGCAAGGTGAATCTCATCCATGACTCTTTCACACAAATGGTAAAAGAAGTCTTTTTTGTTGAATGACTCCCAAACTCCTACTGAATGAAATCTAAGGAAATTGCAGTTGAACATAAGGTTCTCTCCATGGTCTTGCTCTATACCTCATTCCCTGTTAACTGCTTGTAGCCTAGCATGTCATGCCTCCAAGATTTCACTTCTGTTCTTCCTTATGTTCAAACACATTTCCCGGTTTTATTCATTAGCCAAATCTGTCCAATACAGCAAAACTTAGCTTGGGGTAATCTCCAGAAAATCTTCCCTGAGTCCCCAGATTAATTTAAATGTCCTTAATCTGTGCTTTGTTAGTGAGTTTTACATTTCCTTCCTGTTGGCAGTTGATGTATTATATTTGATTTATCAGCTTATATGATTTCTCCCCCTTCTAGATACACATTCTTCACGGACAAAGAAACACTAAACAAATACAGAATCTGGAGTGTGTAATATAATTGGGCCAACAAAATATGTCCTAATTTGAGCTAAAATCAAATGTATCTCTGTATTACTGTTTGCAGTTGCTCTCACAGATAATTAAACCCAGACAACCATTTCTAAGCAGCTGCATTTTAGTGAAGTAAAATAAGTATGGCTTTAGCTTAGATAAACTTAAATTTGAATTTCAATCCTGCTGCTTATTAATGATGTAATTCTGATTCAGTCACTTGCCATTTGAACTTTAGTTTTCATATTTGTACCAATTAGCGAAATACTAAGGTTGTGACTACAAATCAATGAAAAATATACATAAAACATGTATGACACACATGCTCAGTAAGCTTCCTTACCTTACTTTCTTTTAACACTTTAAAAACATTTTTAATGTCACAGGGCTGCATATCTATTTTTTGTATGTGTAGCCATGAAAAAGTCAGACAACACACACTAGATTTACTGTGTGTCCTTGGTTATATTTGTTCTTTTACTTAGAATGCTCTTCTCCCAGCCCCTATCACTACTTGGTAAATTCATATTCTTCCTTTGTTAGGCAGCTCAAATATTACCTTCTCAGTAAAGTCTTTAAAAATTAACTAACACATCATGTGGGTTTCCATAGTACCTTTCTAATGATTTTATTACAATATAGTAAATATTAAACCAAAACTGTAAACCAAATAGATTCCCTTAGCTTTGAAAATTTTTGTGGTCTAGGATCCTCTTTCAAATTAAAGAATGAGATATATATTAAAATAATTTCTGGACAAACAAGATAAAGCATAACACATTGTTGTTCAGTTGTATCCAACTCTTTACCATCACATAGACTGTACTGTACCAAGCTCCTCTGTCCATGGAATTCTCCAGGCAAGACTACTGGAGCGGGTTGCCATTCCCTTCTCTAGGGGATCTTCCCAACACAGGGATTGAACCCAGGTCTCCTGCATTGGGCCTGCTTCTCTACCATCTGAGTTGCCAGGAAAGCCCCCATTAAAATAAAATAATATGTATATATAAATCCAGGTACTTTTAAAATATATTCATTGGTTAAGCTTTTGTGGTCAAAAGCTAAATCCACTTGGTGAAACAAACAGGCAAAAACCAAAAACCAAAACCTAAACTAAATATTAGAAGATGTGATAAGTTATAGTATGTAAATCATATACCTTTGATCAGGGTATTTATTACATACAAAAATAGTCAGTATTTGAATAGCAGTTTAATATATAAAGTTATGTTAAAGAAAAGCACCACCATGTATTTATTCTATCTGTTGCACTTCACCATTTTAAAGAAAAATTGGCTAATTGCAGTTCAAATTAATTTTCATTTTTATAGTATAAAAGCCTCTACAGTAGTCTCTACAGACTTTGTTAAAAAACACAAGAACATTAGAACATTAGTTTTATTTATAAACACAAGAACATTAAGCAATTAGTTAAATTTACCTTAATAACCAAATCAAACTTCTGGTGAAAGTCTCTATTTACTGCCTCCAGGAGACTAAGTTCTGCAGTCCTAGGATGCATATGAAAAAATCTTGGGTAATCCTCAGGAGTTCCTGAAAGACATTGACATTTCAGCACATAATTGAGAACAATAAGTAATATGCGTATCTGCTTTATCTATTTCTTTTCATTAACTGAGGAACAAATTCACAAAACCATTAGTAAATTAAGTTTCAGAATTATGCCGTCTAGGGAAAGCAGATGAAAATATGATTTATCTCTAATTACTTTATGAATAAGAGGATGGCATTACTTCTTGTTTGGATGATTTTCCAAATATCTTTTATTAAGTGAAATCTTTAATTAATTTGAAGCTTCATTTCATAAAAGAGATATTCAGTTCATTGATAATAAATTTTAAATTATAAAATTGTAATTTAATGGTACGTACATCTTAATTATAACCTGCATGGTCTTTCAACATTTAGCAAAAGATGACTAGTAATTTGTACCAAATATCAAGTTGCTTGAATATTAAAATGAGAATATTCTGTTACAGCGGGACAAACATTTTCTTAAAATAAGTATTCATCTAATGATATCAATCACTTTAAATAAAAACATTAAAATGTTAAATAAAATATTTTGATTTACTTTAGTGACTAGAGAGGATATTTCTAAAATTCAGCCATTCTAGTGAACTGAATTTTGCTTAAATTGTATCATCTCTCTTTGTATAGTACAACATTCTTTTTCTCAAAATGAAGACAAAGTGGAAGTCAAATCATATAACTGGAATACATGCATTTGGCTTAATGATAATGATAAGAATAAAATATAACATGACTGCCAATTATTGAATCCTACATTGTGCTAAGTGATTTATGTGTGTTTTTTAGTTGCTCAGTCATGTCCAACTCTTTGCATCCCCATGGACCATAGCCCAGAATGTTCCTCTGTCTATGGAATTTCCCAGGCAAGAACACTGGAGTGGGTAGCCACTCCCTTCTCCAAGGGATCTTCCCAAGCCAGGGATCAAACCTGGGTCTCCTGCATTGCAAGCTGATTCTTTACCATCTAACCCACCAGGGAAGCCCTTAAATGCTTTATATAAGTAATCATCAATACCACTGTAAATTGTTCTCATTGTTCCCAGGAAGACTTAGGAGATTTGCAATATTAAGTAATCTGTTCAAGGTCAAAGAAACAATGTCAGACAGAGCTTGTATTCAAATCCAGGTTTAAAGATGTAAATTATATTCAAAAATGTGTTAATTGCTATAGTCCTCTGCTTGAACAAGAAAGAAAATTTTCCTGGGCTTATGTAAGGGGAGAAAAATGATGCCAGTTAAATAAGCTTAAAAATTCAGAAATAGTCAAAATTGCACATGAAAATTAAGTATATGATAAAGGAATCTGCAAAATTAGGGGAAAATAGATTTTTGGTTAGGAGCATTTACCTAATAGAATCATACAGAAAATGATAAAAATTTATCTATTTTTCATACAGTATACTAAAGTAAACCACAAATGGAGAAGATACTTATGTACAATAAGCAATAAAGCAACATCTAGTAATAGATGAAAATGTGGATGGATTCTATTCTAATGTGAGAGTGGGCATATCTTTCCTACCTGTGGCTCATAATAAAGTATGAGTAAGGGAAAACAGCTATAAATTTAATGGCTTTACAAAACTGCACGGCAAGACACAATAAACAAAGTAATGAAATTATATTATAATTATCTTTAAATTTAACACTTTGGACTTTTCACATGCTGCATTATCCAAACCATTTTTATCCCATTTTATACTTGAAGACTATAGTCTTTCTGCTAAAATAACTCTTTCTAAGCAATTTCACAGATATCTTTAGTTCTCTCCTCCCATGAGATCACATGATATGTGGTTCATACTTTGTAGTATTTAAAACCATGTTTTTTGTTTTTTTTTTTAACCATGTATTTTAATGTATCTTTTGACATTTCTATCCATGGACTGTATTCTTGCCCAACTTAGACCATTCCTCCTTCATGTTCATATCTACATCATCTAGTATAGTAATTGCCGTACTATCAAGTCCTTAGTTAATGAAATAAAAAAAAAAAAAATGCCTATTTCCTTTTATGTATGTCAACCTGATAGTGAAAGAAAGTGTTAGTCACTCAGTTGTGTCCAAAACTTTGTGACCCCGTGGATTGTAGCCCACCAGGCTCCTCTGTCCATGGATTCTCCAGGCAAGAATTTTGGAGTGGGCTGCCATTTCCTTTTCCAGGGATTGAATTTGGGTCTCCTGCATTACAGGTAAAGTTGGCTCTTTACCAACTGAGCCACCATGTCAACCCCCTAGAGACTTAAAACAGACTTATGCTTGTATTCATAAGCACTTTTTAAAAAACTTAATAGTCTAACTCTACAACTTACTTATAATATACCAAAGACTTGAAACAGAATTACTTGAATTTTCTCTATGGACAGCATTTCTAAGTAAGCTATAACATTGTATTTTGAAATCTGTGTGTGGCATGTCTAGGTGATTATAATATGCATCTGTGGGGTGGGAAGGGGTTGAGGATAAAGTTAAATTCCATTCAATAGTTACTTTGAAGCATACTTCTAAGTGTCTCTTCTTCATTAAGAGATGTATTGTTTGTTTTAGATGTGTGTATCTCTCTGGATACTATAAATCATGCAAAACAACTACACCCATATTTTAGCAAAAGCAGTTTAAGAAAAGTGACATGATGAGATTCTTATCAGTTTTGCTTTTGGTGTGACTAACAAATATGCACAAGAATGGATTAAAATGACTTCTCTGAAATTCTTCAAGGGAAATTTAGCCAAAGGGTATAATTGTGTTATGTTTCCTCGGGGTAATCATAATCTTTCTTCTTCTTGGCTCCAATAGCCCTTATTTAATTGTCACATACTTTTTAGAATTACGTAATGAAATCACTATTTTTAGAATTATGTTAATGGTAATGGTACCCAACCAAGGATAAAATACTAGTAGATCAAATAGTGTAAGCTTTTAAATTGATTTTTTAAATTTTTTCTTAGAGAATTCTTTATGAGCTGATACAGAGAAAACTACCAACAGCAGAATACATACTATTTTGAAGTTGTTTTGCCCCCTAATCAAAGTGTTTCTACATATTGTTCACATTTCACTGAGACTAATTCTAAGGGAAAAAATATTTTTAAATGATTATTTTTACAATGTATTTATATATAAAAATAATTTCAATAAAATTTCTAAAAATAAAATCTTTGTCATTAAACTTTAAAAAAAATTGAAACTTTTTTTTTTCCTCCACAATTTTAAATCTATAGATGAGAATGTAAAATGTTAGAAGATACAAACCAACAAGGATGGAATAGAGGATGCCTGGCCTGTCCGATGGTGGCTGGATATTCTGGTCCTGATCAATGGCTTGGATGGGTGGCGTAACAATGATGGGGTTCAGTTCTTCCTGGAAAAAAAAAATCAGAGAGTTTAGTTCAGTTTTATTATCTCAGAGAGAATTGACACTCAGATATTGTTGTCTAGACAGCTAGATAACACCTGAATGAGTAAAGTCAGATTTCAAAATGTGTAATTTAACACCACAAATTAGTTAATTTTTGAATCTGAAAGAGGAGCAAGATGCCCTCAAAGTCAAATGAAAAGACTTAGTAACTTTGTACATAGAGCTTTATATCACAAATTTCTCCTAAAAGGAGAGCAAGGAAGAAGTATATTAATAAATTTTGAATCTTTCCTAAATAATTTAATCAAACATATTAGGTTATCAAGTATAGTATTTGTTTTTGGCTTTAGACAAGATTTGTAAATATATTTATATTCTTTTCTCCTTAAATGATGACTTAAAGTTTCACATAAGTTATATTAAAATAAATGTTTTAAAATTTTATGTTTTAAGTCAATAGAAATAAATTGTATGTTTCATATAGTTAAACAGTATATATCATGTATATATATATATATATATATACATGTAACTTATATACACATTATCATATATAATATACATATTATATATAACTATATATAACTATATATATTATATTCTTATCTGCAAGAATATTCTGTTTAAAGATATAATGCATTTCTGATGTCCAGTGGCATCAAGTTTTGCTATCAGGACCAGATAATAAATATGCCTAGGCTTTGCTGGCCATGCAGTCTCTGTTATAGCTACTCAAGTCTGCCATCGTAACACAAAAGCAGCCAGTAGACATGACTGTGTTGCAATAATACTTTATTTACAAAAACAGATGGTGAATAGGATGTAGTTTGCTAACCCTGTGCTAGATTATAATAGGTATGCTGGAAGGAAAAACATTTACTCTGCAGAGATAAGTTTGGGAAATACCATATTAAATAGCATTTTAAAAATGTTAATTCATTCTACTACTTGTTTCAGAGATTTAAGTGTATTAGTTTGCCTAACAACTGTCTAAGAAAGGGGCATTATTTGTACAGTTTCTAGAATCACTTATTAACATCTTGAACTAACACCCTTAGAACATAGTTTAGAAAATACTGCTTTAAGTTTATGGAACTCAAAGTCCAAATATATAAGTGGTAATTCTGAATGGAAATAGAGTGTGTCTCAGTATCTCATACACATTCTAAGGAATCACTGCAATGTTGTATATTATTTCTTCTCAACTAACATAACCTTGAAATGTATCATGCACTCTTCTACAAAATCTGTAGTTTCTAATCTCGGCAGAAATGTATAGTTGTGGCATTCTAAGTGAAAACAAAAAAGCAATGATATTAATTGTTATGCACAAAACTTAATGTTATTAAGTTACATTAGGTTTACAGGCATTTTAATAATTGACCAATTATTGGTAAAAATTGGTAACAATTGACCAATAATTTAGAGCTCATATACTTCTTAGAGGCTCTGTCCAAATCATTTTCTCTAATGGGCTCTCAGCGGTCTAAATATTATCAATATTTTCCTAAAAATAAAGAGCTCTTTGTGGGGATAACTTGTGTGTATGTGTGCACACGCCCAGTCATGTCTGACTCTCTGTGACTGCATGGACTGTAGCCTACCAGGCTCCTCTGTCCATGGGATTCTCCAGGCAAGAATACTGGAGTAGGTTGTCATTTCTTTCTCCAGGGAATCTTCCTGACCCAAGGATCAAACCCACCTCTCTTAAATCTTCTACATAGCCAGGTGGATTCTTTATCACTGTGCCTTCTGGGAAGCCAGGGATAACTTACATTCCATTCATTTCTTTAAATGTGGATTTAGAACCATGAAAATGTTAAATCGATATCAAAATTACTACATAAAATCCATTTGACCACTGTTGTTCTCACCCAATGTGCTGTGTGTCATGCTGTGCTTAGTCGCTCAGTCATGTCTGACTCTTTGCGACCCCATAAACTGCAACCTACCAAGCTCCTCTGTCCTTAGAGATTCTCCAGGAAAGAATACTGGAGTGGCTTGCCATTGCCCTGCTCCAGGGTATCTACCCAACCCAGGGATTGAATTCAAGTCTCCTGCATTGCAGGCAGATTCTTTACCAATTGAGCCACCAGGAAAGACCCACAATTTTTCTTTCACTCCCTACTTAGTAAAATCTTCAGACTTGAGATGCAGATTACAGACCCTATTTAAAATTTAAATATCCTTCAACTCAGCATTTGAGTGATATATTCACATGACTAACATACATATAATATTATACTGAAATAGCTTAAGTGTTTAAAATTAAATCAAGATATAAAAATCTCCAAGAATAATCTATAGACAGTTTTCCCTGGTATGGTAGAAAAAATAAAAACAAATATATTCAGAGATAACTTTGGAAAGGTAAACTGAGCTCATAGAATGACTAGTGTCTCTGGCTTATTATCTTTAATTACTATAATTCTTAATTTTGACTGATTCTAACATTCACCTTTCTATGAATATGATACTGGACTCATCATTGCTTAGATTTGTGGTCTGTATTTTAATTGAATAATTTTATAGCATTTAGAAAGAGAATATTTATGTTAAAATAGTAAAAACTTCACCATCAACTATAAATATATTCTAGCACTGATAATTAACTGATTTGAAATTTTAATAAATTATATCCTTTAATACCTAAATAATTGAACTTATCATTTATTATTAAATTACTTTCATTAAATTTGATGTGCTCTTTGCACTTAGAAACTTCTCTTTTCAATACCTTTCATAAAAATCGACTTAAATATCCAACTGGAATTTAAATTTGTTATACTCTTCCTTTAACAAAAAAGTAAGATATAGACTACATGAAAGAAAATTCATTACACAAATATTAACATCAATGGCAAAGTCAATTTGTGGACATTGTTATTCTCATCTCTTATTATATTTAAGTACACCATTTTCTCAGAAGTTTTTGAAAATATTTAGCTAGTTTCCAGAGCCTCTTGATAAAAGTGAAAGAGGAGAGTGAAAAAGTTGGCTTAAAGTTCAACATTCAGAAAACTAAGATCATGGACTGAATATTCATTGGAAGGACTGATGTTGAAGCTGAAACTCCAATACTTTGGCCACCTGATGTGAAGAGCTGACTCATTGGAAAAGAGCCTGATATTGGGAAAGATTGAAGGTAGGAGGAGAAGGGGATGACAGAGGATGAGATGGTTGGATGGTATCACCGACTCAATGGACATGAGTTTGAGTAAACTCTGGGAGTTGGTGACGGACAGGGAGGCCTGGCATGCTGCCCTCCACGGGGTTGCAAAAAGTTGGACACGACTGAACGACTGAGCTTAACTGAACTGAGCCAGATTTTTGTCTGTTTACTACATGTTAACTAACATAGAAAGGACAAACAAATCTAAGGTGTCCACAATACTCTCATATAGATATATATATACACTCAATGTCTTCCTTAAGAACCTAAACCACCGTTTCTGTTTTTCTTTAATTAGTTTTGCTCTTTTCAAATGTCAGAAATATCAAATTGCTTGAAAAAGTGTCATGTATTTTGAAATAATCTCCTCCTTGTGAATATTTTTAAAATCTATTAACAAGGTGGGAGGCATGGGCCAAGTCAATTACTTTCAACTTTTTATGTTATCACAGAAACAAATAAGATTTAAAACTCTACAATCCACTAATAACCACTGTTACTAGTTTGAGGTATTTTCTATCAGAATTATCTATATATCTAGCATCTGTCTATCTGTCTATTTCCACAGTGATATTTCACCACTTTGCATATCTAAAGTTTGTTGATTATTTTTACCCCATGTTATACTACTGTTCTAAACCAATACATCTGCTTTTCAAAAACACAATTTGCAATGATGCAACCTCCACTAATATTATAATTATGCTGTATAGTTGTACATTGAAGTTGCTTTTATTACTTCGCATGTTAAGTCACTTCAGTCACGTCTGACTATGTGAAACCCTATGGACTGTAGCCTACCAGGCTTTTCTGTCCATGGGATTCTCCAGGCAAGAATATTGTAGTGGTTTGCCATGCTTTTCTTCAGGGGATATTCCTGAGCCAGGCATCAAACCCACATCTTTTACGTCTCCTGTGTTGATAAGCAGGTTTGTGACAAATCTCTAATTTGTCATAAATCTACTTCCCAGTCCTAAACACACACACACACACACACACACTACAAAAATGCTACATGTTTTAATAAAATTTGAGAATTGAGAACTACACTATAATTTTTTTCATTTTTCATTTCCTTTAAGAATTATTTTATATTCCTACATCAGTTGCATATATATTTATAAATATTAAATTAAATTTTCATTGATTTATATTTATATTTTTTATTTTAATACACATAAATAAATACTTATATCATAATTTACTTATTTTTAAAATCTTTACTTTTATTGACCAGTCAACTGACATATGTCGTTGAATATTTTTTTCAGTGAGAAAATGTGAATACTTGTATATATGAGAAGGCTAATGGCTGAATGAAAAGTATTGACTGAATATTAGGGTTCCATTTCACAAACTTTCTCTGTTCACAAACTTGACTCCATTGTTATCCAGTTTTGTTTCTATGGATCAGGAATCTGATCTCTATCTAGTGTTTGGTTCCTTTACGGTTTTTCTTTATTGGTCTTACTTAAATTTGCTTGTATCTTGAAATAAAATAGTAAATCAGAAATTTTCTGGGTACAGGCATATCTCATTTTATGGCACTTTGCCTCACTGTACTTCACAGACACTGCATCTTTTACAAATTGGAACTTCGAAGCAAACCCGTGTCAAACAAGTCTATCAGAACAATTTTTCCAAAATCATTTGTTCACTTTTTGTCTCTGTATCATATTTTGGTAATCCTCACAGTAATTCAGACATTTTCATTATCACTATGTTTGTTATAGTGATCCACAATCAATAATCTTTAATGTTACTATTGCAACTGTTTTGTAGCCCCAGGAACTGTGCCCATATAGTAGATGGTGCAACTTAATTAATAAATGGTGTATGTGTTCTGATTGCTCCACAACTCTTTGTTCCCTGATCTTTCTCACTCATCTTGGGCCTCCTAATTCTGTGATACACAACATTGTTGAACTTAGGCCATTTAATAACCCTACAATGGACTCTAAGTGTTCAAGTAGAAGGAAGAATGGCAGTCTCTCACTTCAGAACAAAAGATAGAAATGATTACACTTAGGGAAGGTGCAAAGCCAAGATAGGTTGGAAGCAAGGTTTCTTAGGCCGTTAAACAGCTAGCCATGTCATGAATGCAAAGGAAAAGTTCTGGAAGGAAATTCAAAATGTTAATTTTGTGAATACATGAATGATTAGAAAGCAAAACATTCTTATTGCTAATATGAGGAAAGTTTTAGTGGTCTGGATAAAAGATTAAACCAGCTACAACAAATGAAGAGTTGCTTCTTATGGATAAGCAAAGAAAGTGGTTTCTTAAGATGGAATCTATCCCTGGTGAAGATGGTAGAAAATTGCTGAAATGACAACAAAGGATTTAGAACATTCCATAGATTAGTTGAAAAGCACAGCATAGTTTGGGAGGATTGGCTCTGATTCTGAAAGAAGTTCTGCCATGGTTAAAATACTCTCAAACCCTATTACTTGTGACAGAGAAATGGTTCCTGAAATTAGTTTTATTATTGCAGTTCTACTTTCTACTCTATCAATAGCTTTATTTCACCTTTAATCTCATGATTTATATATTTTATTTTTTATTTTTATTTGAAATTCAAACCTTTAAATTAGGTAACATGTTTCTTTTAATATATGTTCTTAACATTTTTTTTTCTTTTTATCTTGAATATAAAATATTCTTCTCCTTCAATGCTCCAGAATATTTCTTGAGATTCACATGTATCTCAGCCAGTGTTTTGATTGCTTGGTGCCTTTATGACTGTGAAGTTCCCATATTTCTGTGGTGGGAACCTGAATTTCTATTTTTATGTCTGTGGGGTTTTTCACTCTTTATTTCAAAACAGTAGCAATCTTATAGTTGTTGTTGCACAAATCTGACTTAGATTTTTTGTTTCCAGTGTTGGTGCCACTTCTTATCTCTTTTTATGTCTTTACAAATATTTCAGCATGGTCATGGGTAAAGATAAATCCAGTACTTAAAGCTACCTGCCATTTCAATCCAGACCTTTCCACTATAGGTTTATGAGCAGGAAAATAAGAAGATAAAAGAGGTGTTAGATAAAACTATGTTTTCACTTATGAATAAGATTAACACGCCGAGAGAAAACCTCTTTTCTAACTTTTCCAAATAGAAACGTAATTGTTCTTTCCTCGCTATGGTCCTGGCTATAGCTTTAACCTTCAGCAGTCTATTGCTCAGAAGTCTTACTTCAATGTATATTATAGAGCAGTGAAGTGCAGAGGAAAGCAGGCTGCCATCACAGCTGGAAAGACCAAAGTCTGAAACTGTTCTCCAAAATATAGCATGAATACTAATTCAGCCTTCTAAGTGTATTAATTTACATCAAATTGTATCAATTAATTTCACATCAATTTAATCTTAAAACCATTTCTTGGCTTAAAAAAGTAACTTTTGCAGTTATTTGCAGTGACTGTCTCAGGTTAATACTAAATATTAGTTTTTAAATGTCTTATTTATGCATAATTTTCTTTCTGGTAGTAGTAACATAAATTAAATAGTGGGATCATTATTATTTCTTTCACTGTTAGTGCCTTACTTTGTGTCTTATACATTGCAGATACTTAGATACCATTTACTCAATAAGAAAACTGTGGCTATTGAATGAATTTTGTGAGTAAAATGACTATAGCAAAATAAATCTGATACGAACATCCAAAGAAAGAGACAAATTTTAGAAAAACAATGACTGGTGATAAGTTTTATTGGGAGTTGGGCATACCAGAGAAAAATGAATTCTTAATTCAGAATTAGAAAAAAATAAGATTTAAAAAATAAATGGAATTAATTCAGTGTTTTTATATTAATTTCAGATATTGATTAGACCTTTATTCTATTTAAGTATATAAAAATAATTATTGCATTTTCCTGCATTTTTGAATATGTCTTATAAAACTAAACTACGCACTGTATCCTTTACAGTTAGCATATTAATATACTACTATATGATGGGGCTTCCCCAATGGTTCAGTTGTAAAGAATCTGTTTACAATGTGGGAGTCGCAGTAGACGTGGATTTGATCCCTGGATTGGGGAGATCCCCTGAAGGAGGGCACACAACCCACTTCAGTATCCTTGTCTGAAGAATCCCATGGACAGAGGAGCCTGGCACGCTATAGTCCATAGGGTCACAAAGAGTCCGACACGACTGAGGCAATTTAGCATGGCATACGATAGTTACTACTAATAGTAACTGGCTTCTTTGGTGGCATAGATGGTAAAGAATTCACCTGCTGTGCAGGAGATCCAGATTCAATCCTTGGGTTGGAAAGATGCCCTGGAAAAGGGAATGTTCACCCACACTACTATTCTTGCCTGGAGAATTCCATCGACAGGAATTGATAAGGCTGAACTTATCCTATTGAATGTTGGTTTGGAAAACAAAATGCCATACACTTTTGATCTGTTTCTTGTTATTAAAAGTTGGGTGAAGGAAAAGAAGCATCTCTTGTTGCCAAAAATGCCCACTGTCTCATCCTAAAGTCTTAACCAGTTATGTTACTTAACCAGTAATGAGAGGAACTTATAAAGATTAGGTGGGTCTCTTCTTGACATATAGAACATTTATAAAAAGAAATTTGGACAAAAAATGGAAATGTTCATCAGGATACACTAATATTAATACAATAAGGTTCTAATGCTTTATAAAGTTTCATTTTTTGATAGATAGGCCTGGTGGGCTTATGTCTGCCTCACTAAATAGTATATGACACTTGGCAATGCATACATAGCAACAGCCTATATCATAGTTTCCCATGCATTCTTACCCAGCTCATACAGGTAGTGCCTGAGTCACAAGGAAAATGGGAGCTTCCCCACAAACTAATCCATTAGTGACATTTAAACCCCAGCATAAGGACGATTCCGGAAGAATTTAGCTCTTTTTGTGGAAGCACGAAGTGAGACATTTAGTTTTAATGCTTGAAATAGTATGACCCAGCCTGTTTTCAGACATCTATTTTGTCCCTGCAGTAAAGACTACTACTTTAAACCACAACAGGGGAGCTGTTGATAACTCTGGATGCGGATGCCTGCAGGGCACTGATAGATGCTTCATAAATCTTTCCCAAATGGTATTCTTGATATTTGCCCACAGGGTCTCTGGAAGCATTCACAAAACTTCTCTATTTTTCTTCAGAAGTTCAGCATAATAGTTTTTTCTCTCCAATTCCTGCTTTAGTAGCAGGTATGTCTTCTACATAGAATGTACTTATTTTCCACTACTGACATTTTTCAAAATGTGGATACCATTACACTTGCACAAGAAGCATTTGATTAAAAAAAAAAAAAGAAAGAAAACAGTTGCAATTGTTGGGTCTGATCTCAGAAAACAAATATAATCATGATATGTGTGAGAATAGTTTTAGGTAATCTCCATTTTGAAAAAAAAACAAAAAACAAAACTCAGGATTTTTTTTTTAATGCACAATAAATATTTATACAAAAAAAATAATAATAACACTCTTCCAACCCTCTCTGGCAATTTACCCCACTTCCTGACCTGTATTTCTTTCTCCATATTTTAAAACAGAGAGATGGGCAATGTCCCAATGAATGTAGCAATCTCATATTACTTGCTTTGTAACTTTACTAAGACAACTCTTTGTATTGCATTTGAACCTACATTGCACTGGCCAGCTCATGAAATAGGGCATCCTTAGGTGTTCTTTTGATTCTTATTGTTGAAAACTATGATTGTACTTTTGTGATAAAATATTTCCAAATATCAAAACTCGAATGACTGTGCAGCTCACTTTCAGAATCCTTTGTTGTTGTTTAGTCACTAAGTTGGGTCTGACTTTGCAACCCCATGGATTGTAGCCCACCAGACTCCTCTATTTACAGCATTTCCCAGGTAAGAATCCTGGAGGAGGTTGCCATTTCCTTCCTGAAGGGAACGTCCAGACCCAGGGATCGAATCTGTCTCCTGCTTGGCAGGCAGATTCATTACCACTGAGCCACCTAGGAAGCCCTTTAGAATCCTATTGCTGTTTAGATCCAAAAGTACCAGTCAAAAGTAAAGTATTCAAACTAGAAAGGAAGTGTATGACATTAATGACCACACAACTTAACGAGATATATATGTTACTTTTCTACTGAATTCAATTAGCTAATGAACCAGCACAGCAACCAGTAGGCTTGTAGCTAAATATGGGGGAAAAGTGGAGTTTCAATTAGAAAAACATTTGAACTCTCCAACAATGCTCTAATAGAGAACAAGGAAATTAACAATTAAGTACTTTTTTTT